CTGAGAAATGCATGTTGAATGCTGCCAAAACGTACATGGATTTTGTTGAATGAATTTTTTCTGCAACTCGGAAATGAAAACCTCAAATGATAAGATTTAGATTTATTAAAAAAATATAAGCATAATTATGTCATACTTTTGTTAATCTTTTATAAATATTTTTTAGGAGTAAACAAATTCGGCAAATAGCATTTTTTTCTTTTCTCTGTCGAAATCGGTTTAATTGATTAATGGCAATGCGACATTTTCATTATGTCTGCTACTATTGGTGAAATAATAAATCGAAACATTTCAACTTGAGAGTTAGGCCGTGTTCACATTGAGCTAAACTTGGTTTGTGTAAGTGTACTCAACACCTTAACTAAAGTCTATTACGTTTCCCATTGATAAAAATCAATATTTACGTGTAGTTTAAATCAGGTTTTGACCACATGCAGTAGACACTCAATGTAGGCCTTGTGTGAGTGCACACAAAACTAGATATTAAAAATGTGAATTTTATTTTGAATATTCAAGAAAGTTACATAAATTCAATAAAATGATTATAATAATATTATGAATTTAGTTATTTACCTATTCATATGACAAAAACTTAAAAATTGCTCAGTTAAAACATGATTAAATACATAGCCTTAGTGGTCCATTTGATATTCAGTGGGTGGGGGGGATTTTATTGCTGATGGAATATTCATTTTATTACGGTTGATAATACGGCTTATTTATTTAGCGTGGTTTTTAAAAACTTTTTGTAAACAACTATTTCTTGCAAAACCCTTGCCGAAATGGGGCCTCCGTTTGGCTGTGCGGGATGTACAAGTAAGCAGCAACGTACGGTTAGAATGGGGACGTTAAATTCAATGCTTCGTGTAGAGAGAATGCTGTACGCTCTCTGCACGTTATGAAGCATTGCATTAATTTTTTGAGTCGTTCGTTGGTAGCTTGTTGTCTCTATCCAATATACTCTCATTTTCCAATTGCTGTCCAAAGGAGTAGGTCCGGTAAGGGCCGATTTTGGCCTCAAAATTCAAGTTCATCTGATGAAAGATTTTGGACACTTTTTAAACACTTAAGTGTCTACTTCAGTCGATTCAATCAGTTTATGTGAAAGGTTTAAACCGATTTAGTCATTAAAGACGCTCAAATTCAAGCTTAAATATGAAAAATCTATCAAATATGCCATAATATGTCACTTTTCAGATGGTTTTTGTCAAAAATGAAAGTGGCCGCATCCGTGTTCATTCTCAACCTTTATATATGTTATGTATTATCATAAAATACAACTTACATTTAAATATTAAGAATCAACACAAATGCGGCCACTTCCATTTCAGACGGAAACCGTCTAAAAATTAACCAAAATGCTAAAATTTCGAAGATTTCAGTTATTTAGCATGACTTCATGATGCTAGTACCCGATACATGTGCATTGTATTATCAAAAACGGCCCATATGTATGTAACAGACGTATTCCTCTTTCCAATGAATAGTTAAAAGTTTACATTTTAACAACTTTGTAATACTTCTATATTTTGGGGCCAAAAAGGGGTCTTACTGAACCTACTCCTTTCCAAGATCTTCATCCCGGACGGCCTCTATTATAGGACATGCCAATTGTATTTATTGTGAATTTGTTCTCGTCCTGAATATCTATGAAACATTTGCCACAAGACGTTAAACAACCAACAATCAACCAATCCATCATTTTAAAAAAAATCCTTTTTTTTTCGCATATTCTTATACCACGTTAGCCAGCGTTATAGTGACATCTTTAAAACTCTCGAAGTTCTCCAAATCAATAAAACGATTTTCTTAAGGTAACGACAATTTATTTTCGTGGAACAAACCATCTTTTTTTATTATTTCAGATAACCAACCTGAATATTTTCAAACATAAAAGATACTGGAGATCATTCCCTGATTTTAGTGAGGTTCGATTTGGTCAGTACTTAGTTTTTTTGTCTACTGCTTAGCAGAACAGCAAGGCAAAACAAAAATAAACTAAAAGCATAATTAATGTTTGGTGGTCTATAAGCTGTTTATCTTGTTTTTGCACCAGGAAGAGAAGATTAGAAATATACGAACATATATAATTATAATTCTACTTCCTTTCAATTATATTTGTTTTTACAATGTTTTTAGTTTTAGAATTGTCAGGTCCATTTATTTTGTCTCAGTCTAATCATCGACACATGAACCTGTATCAATTGCATTGATTTGAAATTTAAAGAATCAAATTCGTTGATTTTCAGTAAATGTAGGAGGATTTCATTGACGCCCCTTTTCCTACTTTTAATTGAAAGTGTTTTCATCATAACCATAAGCCAGCACTTATTAAGTTACTTTTGTCATGGCTACAATTTTCCAGACAATTTTTCACAGATGATCACGGATATAAACCCCGTACAATTTATTCTTGAAGTTATGCGTCCAAAAGCGACAAAACAACAACAACAAGCAGAGGAGGTCCATATATAATATTGAAAATAAAGCTTATGAATGTACACGTTTTATTATACACAAATATATCGTACACATTGCTTGTACATGTATGTTATGTCAACAATTTTTAATGTGAAATTCTTATTTTAAGGTAGCTCGGGTGTCTAAATGTTTGACTAAAAATTTTTCTTAAACTTCTGTAAAAGATACTGGGTCAGTGTACTTTTAAATTTCAATATAAAAAGTTGGAGTCGCGGACCTTGTTTTTTTTTCTCCGTTAAAATACATTGAAAAACAGTAATTTTATATGGGTTATATTGGAAAAACTTTTTTTTTAATTTAGGAAACATTAAACAACAGAAATGGTTAAAATTCAATGCGAGAATTGCTTTTCATATATACTTTCGAAATACCAACAAAATCAAAAAGAAATAGAGGTGACGGACCTTTTTTCTTCAAAAAAAAAAAAAAAAAAAAAAAACACACACAAATTTAAATTGTCCTATCAAATTAAGTCCTTGATTTTAAAAGATTATTTTTCTGAAAATTTTAAATACGCTTAACGACACTTAATTTTTTGATAGTTCAATCTAGGTATGTTTGCAACATGCCCAGCAGGGATGCTCAGAAAAAGACACCCGATCTACCTTACCACGAGCTGAAGTTACTGTTTTAAAAACGCACGTACGTTGACAGGCCAAATGAACAAAACTGCAATACAAATGCTTTAAATATATGTACTAATAACTTCAAATAACAACTGCTATACACATTGAAAGCGTTATATACTATTTTCCCCAAGAACATGTCCCATACATTTGAATGCTTATTTCGCCGTAGATATTTATCTGTACGGTAGTTGGCCCTTTTTGGTATGATAATGTACCGTGCGTTGGCAAACACATTGATAAGAACAAATGCGTCTGTATTGAAATACTTATCTATTGTGTTTTTTTTTTATTAAAATCTTGCATGTACATAAAGTTAGCGTGCAATTTAAACTGATATTTGCACTAGTGCAATATTGCTGTAAGTTATGGAATCAGCGACAGAACTAAACTGTATCATTTTAATGTTTTTCTATATAATAAAAGGGTTATTTGACGAGTATTATTAGTTACATAGTGCTAGTGACCTAATACGATATATATGGGGTCAGTACTATGACCTACTCTTCTTTATCCTGAAATGCTTAAATTGCAGTAACAAGTATCACATTATTTTCTTTTTCGTAAATTAAGTAATTATACAAGAACTAACTACACAACGATTACTAGTTCCTTTTAACATATAAAGAAATAATATTCTATGTAATATTTTACTGTTGTTCTACTCGCAAATGTTAATCTGTACTAATGAGAGAATACAAAAAAAAAATAAGGGACTACTACAACATTACGTAAGTACTGTCCTTTCCTCGATCTTGATATCTATTAAGCTTAATACAACAATTTATGATAAAAGAGATGATTTTTCATTTCCTATCGTTAATTATCCATTTTTAGATGGTGACGTTCTCTTGTCACCATCTTATGGTGTTTATATATCTCAACTTGTACGATTCGCTCGTGTATGTAACAACGTATTAGATTTGAGCGAGAGAAATTTATATATTACTGAAAAATTATTACACCAGGGTTTTCGATATCATAAACTAGTCAAAACATTTACTAAATTTTATCATCGGTATAAGGACATCATTCGTAAATATAACTCAACATGCAGACATCTTATACGTTCGGGTATTTCACATCCAATCTTTTATGGTAATATTCTTTACAAAGCACAAAAATGTCAGTATTCACCTCAAAAGCTAACAAAACCTTTAAACAGACTTATTAAGAAGGGATATAGTTACGATACTGTTGTCAGGTCATTAAAAATTGCATACATGTATTTTGGCTTTAATATTGATTCACTTATAGGGTCTTTGCATCGGAATTAAACATATTTATTCTAAAACCAGTTGTTGGCATGACACGGGTTATGTTCTTCTCATATATTTTATGACGGTATAATACTAAACCCCTAACAGGAGAGATTGTGCCTGATACTCATATGATGAAGACATAATCTTTCAATCAGTTTAATTGAGCTGGCATGTCAGTAACTGCTAGTAGTCTGTTGTTATTTATGTATTATTGTCATTTTGTTTATTTTCTTTTGTTTCCTATTCTGACATCGGACTCGGACTTCTCTTAAACTGAATTTTACTGTGCGTACTGTTGTACGTTTGTTTTTTCTACATTGGCTAGAGGTATAGGGGGAGGGTTGAGATCTCTGGCCTTTGTTAGTCTTGTATCATTTTTAATTTTAGTTTCTTGTGTATAATTTGGAGTTTAGTATGACGTTTATTATCACTGAACTAGTATACATATTTGTTTAGGGGCCAGCTGAAGGACGCCTCCGGGTGCGGGAGTTTCTCGCTGCATTGAAGACCAATTGGTGGCCTTCGGCTGTTGTCTGCTCTATGGTCGGGTTGTTGTCTCTTTGACACATTCCCCATTTCCATTCTAAATTTTATTAATAGTCTTTTAATACGCGAAATCACTACCCCAAAGTTTCAAGTTCAAGTTTTTAATTTCATTAACAGGGGCATGTGAACAATTGCACAAATACAATGTAAGTATTCATAATATAAAAAAATAACAAAGTAATACAGTGAACCTTATAAACATTCATTAACATATATAAATGTGAAAAAAGTAATGCGTTTTGAGGAAGACAGTAAATTTCAAATGGACATATTGATGGTTGAAACAATATTAATTAACAACAGCTAGCACAAAATTGTGCAATTTTAAGAACAGCATTGTAAGAGACAGAATTAAACAACTCATAACTTTTGTCAGTATTATGGTTGGTAATATATTAAGATTACAAGGTAAAAATGATTTCCTGCCAGCATTGAGAAATGAGAAAACAAGTAATGATAGTCATCCCCTAGTTGGTTTTTATTACAAATGTCACAAATTCTGTCGTCACGTTCTAAAACCCAAAAGCGACCCCTTTCAATAGGGAGTCGATGATTAAGACATCTAAAATTGCATAAGGCTTTCCTCAAATCATCTGGTAAATTAAGTAAAAAATATTCTAAACCATGATTATATTTAAAAATTTTATAGTTAAGACATTGTGGTGAGTTAAAAATAGTTGTACCTCAATTCTGCTTTTAAAAATTGATCACATAATCTCTGTTTTACAAGTTTTGATAAACATATACATTTCGGTACACTTTGTGCAATCCAATATTCAGAAAATCCACAATCACTCAAAATATTTTCAATACATGCTATACACTTAGAATGGAAAAATCTTTCTTATGCATATTAAACAACAATTTGTACAACATAGCAGAAACCTTGTCTTGTTTATTACATATGGGCCTTTTCCACAAACCTATTATTCTGGTCTTTATAAATATGTCAGGTAAGAGCAGTTTGTAATTTTACCTTGGATTCAGCTAAAAACTACTGTGTCATCAGCATATAACAACAAGTATAATCTTTAATAAACAGAAATTTCATCAGTATCAAGTAAAAAATGGGTTGCATCACATACATCAGATAGACAATCATAAGCTTTGGATATTAACTCTACTAGGTCAATTAAAAACAGTGAGAAAAATATAGGAGACAGATTTTTGCCTTGGCGAACACCAATATTACTTTGAAAATATTCAGATAACTTTGAACCTTGCCTAACACAGCATTTAGCATTTTCATACATAGCATGTATAATAACAAATATATTTCCATCAACACAGTTTTGCAACACTTTACGCCATAAAGCTTTTTTATTAACAGAGTCAAATGTCTTACGGTAATCAACAAATGCACAATACAATAGTTTTTACGATACAAATATAACTGAACTATGCATTGAAGATTAAAAATGTAAGTTTTCCTAAAACCTGCCTGTTCTTCGCAAAAACATTCGTATTTTCTAAGTAACAATTTAATCTGTTATTCAGTACAGTTGTAAAAAGTTTACCATAACAACTCAGAATAGTTATACCCCTATAGTAATCAAGGTCGGCCATGTCACCTTTGCCCTTTATAAATTGGACATATAATACATGTACCAACTGACCACAGGTCAGGTATTTTACCAGATTTAAAAACAATGTTAAATATTTTTACATATATATCAATAATTTTCTGTCATGATTTTTCAAAAATTCATTTAATATCAAATCTGTACCACTTGATTTGTTATTTTTCAATAACTTAATTGCTTTGACAACCTCGGCTTCAGAAATGACAGAATTCAGTTCAACATTCAAATTAGTTACATCATTACAATCAAAATCCTCTTTAAAATCGCCATCCTGATCATGTTGTACATTACTCAATTTCTTAAAATGATCATAAAAACGTTCAAGTAATATCTTCTCTAGTACATTTGTCTTTGTAGTACTTGATTTATGAAGTAATGACCAATAAGATTTAGGATCACTTTGACTAAGATTTCTTAACTTCTTAATGAATTTTTTTTCTATATTCATTACATTGAGAATTACAAAATTTGTATAAGCTTTACTACATCTAATCAAATCCAAAACACAAGTAGTTCACCAATTTTTATCCACACAAGGAAGTTCTATTCAGTGAGCAGATACAATATACATACAATTATTTCTCTAATTCTTCGTCAATTTATCCCTTTCTGCACCAATTGTATAAAAAAATTTAATCAACGTGTGGTTCGTTTCATCTCAGTTCTTCATTGGTTAAAATCCGATTATGACGTCGAATTTTCTTGCTTTCCTCTGAATTTCCTATTGTGACGGCATGAAAAAAGGCGACCATGCCTGATGACGTCACATAGAAAGAACACATCTTTTTGCAGATCATTCGAAAAGAAGGAATAAGTTTGCCTGCATATTGTTTGAAAATCATTAGAGAAACACATTCCACCATCAAATCTCGTGTAATACGATATTTATTCACTCTCGACAGTTAAATTTTAAATATTTAAAACGCTCGGCGAGCCTCGCGTTTTAAATTTGAAAATTTAACTGTCTCGAGTGGATAAATATCGTATTACACTCGATGCAGTGATAGAATCTATATGTATGTAAACTATACAATGTAGGGAGGCTTTGCTCTGCTGATTTTAATAATATAAAACATTTTAATTTGATTTAATGTGACAAAAGCTTAATGACGATAAACATCAGTAAAGATTGTATTCTACTTATGCAGTATAACAGCCATATTGAGGATATTATGAAATACATTTTGTACTTTGTTTTCTTTTCCTTAACTCTATGAAATGATAGCTATACATTAAATTCATTCTTGAATGCGCAAATAAATAAAAAATCATTTAGTTGCTTGCCAACACAAGGAATTCAGGAATCATCTACATAATATACAATTTAGTTCTAACATGTTGTGGTGGGTTGTAAAAATGAAAAGAGTGAGTCTCTATTCTTTGTAAGGAGGGGGACTGGTATTGAAGACTTGTGGTTGTTGAATATTCATTATGCTAGACTGGGTACTAACACCAGATTGAATTTGTTGAATAATTGGTTCATTTGTGTTGATTATCTGGTACTGTTGTGCTGTTGGATACTGTACAACTGGATTGTCTGTGTGTTCTGTGCGTATCACCATAGTGTTACCCATCAGAACATTGGTTTGTGGAACAGTTAAAATCGGTCCAGACTGTGAACTATTCACAAATAAAACTCTTTGCTGTAAAATATAACAATAAATAAAATGCAGTGCACAAGGAAACTATGATACAAATAATGTAAAATGTCAGACAATAATTTAATTTTGGATGTAACACGTCTTCTGATTGGCTGAATTTTTTTTGTCTATCAGCTCATAGACATAGTAATTTTTTAATGTGACCCTAACGTCATCAACGGTTTTTCATAATTTACTCCTTAAAAATGGAATTTAGAATTAAATTATAAGGAATGACTTTAATATTTTTTCTGTCTATTCGAAATAACCCCAACTAAGATACAAATAATGTAAAATATCAGACAGTGAACTTTAGGTTGTAATGTAAATAATGTAATCAATAAAATATGTCAAAAGATTTTGTAATGAGTTTGCAGTTCATCCTAAATTTATTTATTAGTTCAAATCGGTTATAAGATTTAAGGAAGAAGGTGAAAATGTGGAGGATTTACAAGCGACGAAGACCATGACACAAAGCTCATACTGGTTCTCTAGACCACGTGAATTGAAAACACTTATCATCATTCCAATATTCTTTTTATTATGTAATGATACAAAATTTGAACGCTGGAGTTATTATCAAAAAATTGTAAATTAGTGATGGCAACATGGATTTGACATATTAATGACCGCTGTCTTTGTTTTAAGTGCATACTCGTTATAAGTTTAATCTATTAAAAGAAACTAATTCATTCGTTTAGGAATGTAAAGTTCATACCGTCTGATTTGGTATTCTCCAGGTAGTGCAACACTGACAACAGTATGAAGCAGAAATGATCGCCAATACAGATTCAGCAAATGATAACAGAGTAATGAAAATAGAAAGCATACCCAGTCCTTTTGACCCATCTATTATCGATCTCTGGAATATAATAATTATATAAAGAAACACAATTGACGTAAAACTCATAATGTTCCAAATATCAATTTGAAAATAATAATAATAGTTAGATAGTTATAATTTGTGAACATCACTACAAAAGTCCAAAAGTCTGAAAAGACCAATTTTTGTCTTGATTTGCATGAACAATTACTCGACATTCTCCAAATGTCTGACTTGTGTCTTAATTTTTCTTGACAAAATCTCATTTCTATTGAATTTGTATGAAATTTACTCGACAAATTCTCGACATTCTGAATATGGTCTTAAAATTTCTTGACAAATTCTTGACATTTGAATACTGTCTTGAAATTTCTCGACAGATTCTCGACATTCATATTTTTTCTCAGTATTGCTTGACATATTCTGAACATTTTGAATTGTGTCTTAAATTTACTTGACAATTCTGAGTTTTACAAATCATGACCAATATACATGATATAACTTTATCTTTATTTCTCTTTATATAATATACTGTTGTTTCAGTTACACTTGTTACAACAAAAACAAAAGTTGGGCATGTAAAATAATTGAAAATTTGGGTATATAAATATTTTCATAAATACAAATATGGCTATGAAATTTAAAGTATTAACAATACAAATGTGGGTATGTTGATAAAAACCGATTCAAATGTGGGTTTGTAAATAATTACAAATGTTGATTCCTAAATCTTATAAATAATTGCTAAATGATTAAATTAAACCAATCATACTGTAGACATATTTCATTCTACATGGATTGCATAATATTCAATGTTAATAGGGTAAATAAACAATTATTGTACCAAAATGTGTTTTTCATAAATAGCAAAGTGTTATTGTATCCTAATTCTTCCAAGGATTTGTATAGTCTTACTATACAAATCCTTGATTTAACAGAAGAAAATTTGTGTAAATTAATGTCATCTGTTGCAATATATATTAAGTATTACACGTGGACAGGATGTTCCCCATACAATTAAGGTATTCCAAATAAGTTATACACACCCCAGGGTATATGCGACTGTCATATGGAAAATTACTGCTTTACCTGTAATCTGCGGCGTTTTGCATTTGCGCCGATTTTTTCTTTCCTTTGCGCCGATTTTTTTTTTCATTTGCGCCGATTTTTTTACAGGTTAATTACAGGTAAATTACAGGTGAATGTTATTTTTCATTTAACATTATAGACCTCTTACGTTCGCCAGTTGGAATTTTGGGTCCTCAATGCTCTTCAACTTTGTACTTGTTTGGCTTTATAAATATTTTGATCTGAGCGTCACTGAAGAGTCTTATGTAGACGAAACGCGCGTCTGGCGTATTAAATTATAAGCCTGGTACCTTTGATAACTATTGTACAAATGTTATGAATTGTCAATCATAACATGTATATAACTGTTGTCCTCTGCTCACCACGGGGAGGTGGAAGTAGGATTTTGAGCAGGATAAGTCAATTTAAAAGCACTATGTTCACATACTTTAAAATCAAGAAGTAAAAACCTAAGATAAAAGCACTCCGTTTTTACTCTGTTTATGCTAAAATGACGAATTAAAAATCAATTTACAACATTAAAATCCATAAAAACGGAATACATTAAAATCATAAATCTGCTCTTGCCGAGTATTTATAGGCAACACATCTAATATATTCCTTTCTTGTGATTTCGTCTCTATATTTGTCGTAATTGTCAATAACGAAGTCCATCTTTTCTTTCTCTGGCTAACGTACAATGTGCTAACGTACAATGTATTGATGCGGGCATTTCTAGAGTTCGCATTTTAACATGCGTAACGACCTGGATTTTCTTAAATTAAACATAAGTGAACAACGTTAATAATCAGATTTTACCAATATACATTACCAGGCTGAAGCTAGCGAACAATAACTAGCGAACAATAAGCCAGCGAACAATAAGGCGATATATCTAAAAACCGAAAAAATGAATAAGACAGCAACGGCCGTTAAATGAAAAATATTTAAAAAGGCAGAAATTCCGTCCAAATATTGCAATTTCAACTTTATCATGAAATGGTATTTATCCCATCCATTGATAAAACTAGTCACATCTCTTTTTAGGCTAATATTCAGTACCACAGTAAATCTGCATCTGTCAAAGGATTATTTGTAGGTGTAAGACCACCAATGCACCCACTTCAATTTAGAACGTACAAACATGTATGTAAAAGTAGTCCTTCCCTGTAAAATATAACACCTTTGATGTCATTGTTTAATTGAACTAAGATATACATTTGCAGAAATGGGGGTTGGCCTATTCCATGGCTTCTAGAGAAAAATAATGAGGGGTGTCACGGGGTATGACTATATAGGTCTTGTAGAAAAGAAACAGGCGCATCTTTTGCGCAAGGTATCGAAGGGCGCTATGTTCAAAAATCTGAAACTGGAGCTCAAAATTTGAAAAAATTGTTAAAAACAAAGGGGTTGGCCTATTCCATTGCTTCTAGAGAAAAATAACGAGGGGTGTCACGGGGTATGACTATATAGGTCTTGTAGAGGAGAAACAGGCTTCATCAACCTATCAATCTACTCCTGCAAAATCGGGTTTTAGATATATCGCTTTATTGTTCGCTGGCTTATTGTTCGCTAGTTATTGTTCGCTAGCTTCAGCCTGGTATATACATTCAAGGTATAATAGTACATGTACAAATATTTACTCAACAGTGTTAAACTGTAAATACATTAAGTAGCAAATACAAAATCGGCGCAAATGAAAGAATGAAAATTTTAAAAATCGGCGCAAATGTCACACGCCCGTAATCAGCCATGCAACTTATCAGTTGACTGACCATGCCACTACAATTTAAAAAGTTTGTTCATAGATAAAAATGAAAATCATCATTTTAATTAAAAAATTTTGAATTAAAATGGATTTTCTTCATCAAAAATTATGAAGTGAAATAATTTAACATAAAAACAAATTGGATAATTTCCCAAAGATGAAAAGAAAACTATTATCTACTTCAGGAATAATAGAAAACTGTATTTATAAAGGTCCCATCAATGATTTCTCTAGAACTCATTGGTCTTATGAAATGGATCTCAAACAGACACGCATGATTAAGATCTAATCATTTATTTTGTTCTATGATTTCTTGAGAAAAAAATCAGGAGGGCAGTATCCAAATATTTAGTTTTGATAAAAAAATTATGAAATTCAACACTCAGTTTTGAATAAAAAATGTTTTTGGTTGTTCTAATAAAATGAATAAGTTTTTGAATCAAGATGGGAACAAATTCTTTGTCCCAAACGAAAGTCCCCCCCTTTTTTAGCCACACACACGCATAAGATGAATGGTGGGGTTCAAAAGAGACACCTGGTCACATTTTAAAACTGCCTCAAGTCACCCATTTTAGTAAAGCAAATTTAACTGGCAGTTTTTTGACCGGCAAAAATCAAAAATGGTGTTTGTCAGTAACTTTGACATGAATTCCAAGTGAAAACATTTTAATTAAACGTTTGTTAAAAAGTAATTCAAAATTAAACTACATGGGGGTCATTCGGGGTTGTCCACAAAAGGTATCTTACTATACAAATCCTTGATTCTTCTAAGTTTAGCTATAATAAAAATGAGTAAATAACAGCAAAAGAAAGTGTTTAAACAGTTCAGAATGTGTCTATACACAATTCAAGCGAAATTTATACTGTTGAGATATTGTCAAGACATCTTTAAGACCGTCAAGAATGTGTCGAGATATATTCAGACAGCTTTAAGACTGTCAAGAATGTGTCAAGACATATTCAGACATTATTAAGAATGTCAAGAATATGTCAAGACTGATCGAGACAAATTCAAGACAGTCAAGAATTGGTCGAGACTAATCAAGACTCTAATCAGATGATACAGAAAGTGTTGACAATTTTAATACTGTCAAGACACTTGTCAAGAAAAATCAAGAACCTTATTAGACAAATTCATAATATGTTAAGAATTTTTAAAAACAATTCAGACAAAGAAACAATGTCGAGTAATAAATTGATGCAAATTTAGACAAAAATTGGTCTTTTCAGCCTTTTTGACTTTTGTAGTGCATGTCTGTAAAGAAATACTAGGTGTTTTATCGTTACTGATTTCTATTTTCATATATCCATATTCCAATGTACCCTACCGTCAAGTAGTGTCATTTTCTCTACTACCGTTTATTATCCATCAGAAAAATTCCCAGATTAATAGCCTTCAATTCAAGGAATTATCTTTTAGTACAAAATTGTAATCGTCAAAGCCAATAAAATGTATTTACAAAATGTCGAAAACTTTAAGGTTATACAAAGCGGCATAACCCTAATAAGTTTCTACAATTCATGATAATATCATGATCTTAGAATAAAAATTAAATAACAAAAGGATCAAATTGCTAAAATATAGAAAATATATAAAAAAATATTGGCAAAATATATTAAGAATGGATAGAATGGCTTACGAAATGAAGAATAAAAGAAGACCTCCTGTCCAGATCATCTTACAGGCTTACCAGGCTTGGCCCAGTATTGTTGTGAATCACAGTTTATGGCCAAATTTAGAAAAAATCCATTTAAACTCTATTTAATTGATAAATTTAATAACACGTAGTGGTACGGTTACCTTGATGATGCTGTTGTTTTAAATAAGCAACAATACTGAAAAGATTTACCCAAGGAAACTTCCTTTTAATACATCTAATATTAACAGCAATAATTGTCCTTTTCATGATTTGGACATTTCAGTTTCGCACGGAAAATATCAAAACAAAACTTAACGACAAAATAGACGATTTTGCGTTCACTATTGTTACTTTTCCTTTTTTGACAGTGACGTTCGTTGGCTTCATTTTTCATATTTCCTAACTTGATTCGCCCCTGTCTGTAGTGAAGTATGGTTTCAATGAACGCATGCCCTTGCGCAATTCCAAGATATAAGTAAACAGTTTCGACAGAATATAGGATCATAAGTTCTCATTACTGTACATATATAGCAATACATATTTAGTTATGTTTTAATTTTTCAATAACAAAATCAATGTTAGTACCAATATAAACAATATTTAGAGACTTTACTACTGTTTTGAATTGAAAACCTTTAAGAATAAGTCTATCAAAAGGATCATCAAAATCACCGTAACAATTAGGTATTGATATCCCGTTTTTCAAAAGAATTCTACAGGTAGAGCCAAACTTCGAATTCACAACCAAATATTTGTGTCTATGAAAGAATTTGGAAAAGTTTTAATTCATTTGTGGTAACGAAATCCATGAATTAATAATTTACCAGTTATACATAATAACATAAACGGTACCAATTTTTCTGCACCAGATGCGCATTTCGACATAAATTATATGCATTAAAAATTAAAGACTTCAGACACGGGCATAGCGAATAAATTGTGAAATATACATACCGTAAGAAGAAGGAGCCAAAAGAACATCACCGTAAAAAAAAGGACAATTAACAATCGGAAACAAAAAAATCGTCTCTTTTGTCGTAAATTTTTGTATAGAGTTTCCCTTGTAAAACTGAAATATCTACATCTAGAAAAGGACAACTATTGCTGTATGCATTAGATTTATTTAAAGTAAGTTAAAGTTAGAAACTTCTTGATTATGTAAAGCAAAATATCATCAAGGTAACGGTAAGTGTTTTTAATTGGCTGATTAAATTTCATTTAATTAGATAAAAGAACTTCTGTTTGATAAGATTGTGTGCGAGTATAGTGAACCGAATCGGAAAATCATAACTGTTTACTGAAACATACAAAGAGTTTTAAATCATTTTTTAACATTTATAATTCATACTCGAAAATATCAAACTAAACATTTATGTTACATTTATTAAGAAATCAAGTAAGTACAAGTAACTATTAGTCAAATGAATCTTATATGTGCCGTTATTGTACATGTTGATTTGTAATATACCAGTTTTAAGTTTTAACTTACTACGATTGCTCCGATCACTCCAAGGGTAAAAACTGTTAGGAAAAAGATCGATGCTCCAATAATACTGCAAACCATAAATCCAACTTTCTGAAGTAAAAAAGTTAAAACAAATCTACAGCATTCTGGAAATAATAATTGCACTGAAAATATGTTTAACCGCAAACATCAATATACGATTTAAAATAGATTCTAGAAAAAGCCTGTGTCGCTCAACTAGATCTTTGCGCATATTCAGCAGTGACAACTCTCCAGCATTGTATAGACTGATATATAATTCATGACTTTAGTCGCTTTTTGTATTGATATCATTTTTTGCTATTTAAAGTCTTTTTCTAACTCTTCCAGATTTCAAGATAATTTTCAAAAATGCCGAAAAATATTAAAACAATTATCTTTTAAGAGCAATAACTCCCTTAAGGAGTCGTCTGACAGTTTCGAACGTGTAGGATTTTTGTAGATCTTGTCTATGATTTTATGGGAGGGGGTTGGGCGCCCGAAAACATGTTTTACATCGCCAATTTTTTGTATATGTCTGTCCAAAGTCAGGAACCTGTATTTCAGTGGTTGTTGTCTGTTGCTGCATGTCATATTTGCTTTTCGTTTGTTGTTTTGTACCTAAATTGTTGGTTTTCTTATTCAATTATTTTACATTTTGTTATGTCAGGCCTCTTATAGCTTGCTATGCAGTAGAGGTGTAGCTCCAGGCATGGGGTAATGCAAATTTGTAATTGTAATGCATGGTAATGCATTACATTTTTCCAAGAAATTGCATGTAATGTGTAATGCAGCAATTTTTGCATTACATGTAATTGTAATTTAATGCATTTCATGAGCAAAAAGTTGTGTAATTTCATGCATTACATTGCATTACATGGCATTACTTTTTTCACATACTCTAACAGATTGTTGTAGATTTAACTAATTTAAAAGCAGAATTTAAGATTTCTTGAATAACTAAGATCATAATCATTTGAATATTGATTTTCTATTTAATATTTATTTTTCATCTTAAGGTAAGACTTTCAATAATTAAGATATTGTATTATTATGTCTGAAATATTTCAGACATATATATTTAAGGTGGTACCCAACACCTTGACTTATATCAATTTGGCTCGTTTAATTTTCATAAAATTTTGACAAAATGTTTACTTTGACCCTTTGACAAAAATATATAAAAATTTCAAAAAATTTGAACCAACCACTTTATCAGAAAAATTTCGTTGGTTATATAGCAGTTTGACAAACCCATATTTTGATCATTGAGAAGCTTAATATTTCCTTAACAATACAACGTAATTAAAACGTTTAGCTGATTTTTACAGAGTTATCTCCCTGTAGTGTTAGGTACCACCTTAAAAAATAAAAATAAAGTGATATAAATACTAGAATGACCAAATTACAATTCTAAATGAATAACACAAAACTGTATATCAGATTGAGTTCTGTTTTTTTATTTCATTTTATTTCATTTTCCTGCATAAAAAGATTGATATTTGAAAAACATTAATGTAAAAGTGTTCCATTGATGTCAAAAGATCAATGGATACCTTGTCATGATTAAATAACAGATAATTTAACATTGTCATAAAACACTTAATTGGTTTGTATTACAATCAATGTTTTCACCATTTGACACTTGATCATAAATTAAGCACTTTGTTATAGAATTAGGAAAGAAATTCTCAGTAAATATTTTGATTGAAATTAAAAAAAACAAATTTATATTTATAAAAGCAAAGTTATAATTGAGTTAAAATAAGTATCAAACTCCATCTCTGTAATTTCTTTTTAGAGAAAACACAGAGATGTATACCTTGAAACATTAAAACCAATGATAGAAGAGCAATCAATTTTGATAGGTTTTGTGAAACAGTCGGGTAGTCAGAAATATCATCTTTTGTGACTTCATGTTGTTTTTCAAAATATTTGATTTTTCTTTTCACTTAATAATAAAATTTACAAATGTAATGTGTAATTCAATGCATTACTTTGCAAAAGTAATTGTAATTTAATTTTATAAATGCATGTAATTGTAATTGTAATTTAATGCATAGTTTTGTCAAAGTGACTGTAATATAATGCATTACATTGCAATGTAATTCGCCCCATGCCTGTTTAGCTCATTGTGGAAGGTTTACCAACAGTTTAACATCTGCGTCATTTGGTCTCTTGTGGATAGTTGTCATTTTTTATCATACCAAATCTTTTTATTTTATATTGCTTATCATTTTTGCCAGTTCAAGTTTATCTCTATCAAATACAGTGTTTAGGTTGATAAGGAAAAACGAAACAAAATGGTAAAAATCGTCATCTAATGACAATAATTCCTTTAAGGAACCGTCAGATGATTTTGGCCATGTTGACTTTTTTATTTGTCGATCTGAACATTTTGGTTTTTAAAGTTTCTATCTATTATAGTTTCCAAGAAAAAAGTGTAAAATGCTACAAATAAGAAACATTCACCAAATAAGGTTAATAACTCCTCTAAGAAGTCGTCGATCAGTTTTGATGTAAATACGCAGTAGGTTGATCATATCACTTTGAAAACATCAGATTTTCTCTATCGGAAGCGGTATTTTAGATAAAGACAAAACTTGCATTTTACCCCTATGTTCTATGGTTAGCCAAGTCGCTCATGTTGGTTGACAGGCGGGGTTATCGGACGCATTATTTTACAGTTGATATCCCAATGATGAGTGTGGCCCAGTTTGGTTAAATTTTGCAAAGTAGTTTAAGATTTGACTATTTCTGCTAAAATCAACCAACGACGACGTTATGAGAATAAGCTCACACAAATATTAAATGAAATATATAAATGAGAAATCTATTTCAAAATGTCATTGAATCTAAGTTACAATACACGTAGGAAGCGTTCTTTACCTAAATATCAATTTCATAGTGATTGTATTCTAAAAATAGCATCCTGTAATTTAACCAATAAGATCAGTAGATGAGCATTCCTAAACACTAAAAAATACTTCGTGTATTTTGATTAGTCGTCATCGTTTGTTATCTGTGAGAATAACACACCTCCCGAAACAATGTTGAGGGGGGGGGGGGTGGGGGGGCAAGGGGTTTAACTGTTATGCTGTTTTGGGGCAATTTATTTTTTGTTATCTGTTATTCTGAAAATATATTTGCTGTTAGCTGTTATTGTCTTATTCCTTGTTAGCTGTTATAGGACTATTATTTTTTTTGTTATCTGTTATTGTGAGAATGTATTTGCTGTAAACTGTTATTGAAAATTGGAATGTTTTTTTTTTTTTTTTTTTTTTTTAAATCAAATACAATTTATTTCCAATATCCTGTTACAATTACCTTAGTAGCCCAATGTTTTCAGCTATAGTAAGAAGAGGTGATAAGGCGGCTGTTCAATGCTAGACGTTGTAGCCATAGAAGTTAAAAAATAATTAAAAGTTTGAGTCCCGGTTGAGGGGGAAGAAAAGGATCATATCTACGCCAACATTGTTAGGTTGATTTTCTAGGCTCTTTATAAAAAAAAACTGACTCCTGAAATTTCCGAATCTTAGGAAATCCAATGGACAATGTATAATTTGCAGTTTTCACTTCACATAGGCAGACATATTTAAATATAAAATCCATATTTATTGTATTCTTAAAATAGCACCCTGCAATTACATGTATACAATGAGATGCGTAGATGATCATTCATGTACACTTAAAAATACGTCATGTATTTTTATAAGTCGTCCTTGTTCAATACATAGGAGAAGGTAACACTTCCAGAAACGAAAACTAATGTTTTAATATAGGGCAGGGGATTAGGCGGCCTTGTTATATAGGTGGTGTGGCCATATAAGTTAAAAGAAAAAGTACCGGTTTCAGCCCTGGTGGGAGAAGAAGTAAATAATCAAATCTATTCTAACATTGTTAGGTTGGTTTTCTAGGCACGCATATATACTGGAGAAATGAACTAAATACAAACAGATACAACTCTCACTTTATATTTCTGTTACCTTTGGAGTAGAAAAAACAAACCTTTAAAGCTACCTTTTACACTTCGTCACTGGCTATTTTCTTTGATGTGTTTAACATATATTAATTTTTTTGGTTGTAACTATATAACATTACACTGTGAATGTTTTCTTTCAGTTTTTAAAGTAAACAAATTTTTCACCACATACCAGACATAACCAACTGGATTCTCTTTTCTTAGACATACACATCGGTAGGAAACCAGTGAGAACAAACTACAATGATACAACATGAAAATTACATCTTTAAATGCTGGTCAAATTCATTCTGTTCACTAGAAACTGAGAGAAGTAGGGCGGGGATATTTGTTGGATGAAATCCTATAATTGGAGTATAAATATCATTAGAACATATTAAGCCAAGGAGTCAAATTTGTATTTGTATCTTAATGTCTTTATGTGAATTGTTTATGGTGCAGCCTCCCGATCTGACGAATCAATCCATTTCCATCAGACATTTAGTTTGTTCTAGTGCTGAGCTGTTACACCACTGCTCTAGTTTATGGGAGGGTTGCGCACTAACATACCCGTTCAACATCGTCATATTCTATATGTTTCTGTCTCAAGTCAGGAGCCTGTAGTTCAGTGAGTGTATTTGGTTTGCTGTCTGAAATATTTGGTTTTCGTTTATTGTTTTGTCATTAATCATTTTTTCCCATTACAATTGTTTTCTACTACAGGGGGTATTTAACGACCTTGACTACCCTATGAGGCTCTTGCATGGTCGGTCAATTGTTTTTTAGTTTGTAGTGTCGTGGCTTTTTATAGCCAATTTTACGGTATGGGTTTTGGCATTATATTGACCCATAAATGCTTAAATCCACGTCGTTCAAACTTTGGAGGATAGTTGTTTCATAGACAGTAATACAACATCTCCATATTTTATACTTAATGTTATATTGTTTAAAACGGTAAACATGATTTGTTTCAGTTATACTTGTTTGTTTAATAACGATATGTCCGATTCAAAATATATAAAAATAGCGTAACACAAGGTTCAAATCTTGGGCATCTTTATTCATTTTATACATTAATGATTACCTCCTTTACATCGATCGTTCGACTCTTTATTACATTGTACTTATTATGTAGAAAAATGTAAGATACAGATGATTCTCCTTTCCAGAGTAAAGAAATGATGTGCATAATTTAAATGCAACCCTTTAAAAAAGATAAAAATATCATTGAAAACAGGTTACCACTAAGGGTGACTAGGGAATAAAAATATGGTCACTGTTTCTCTTTTTTCGACCGGCAGTAAAACCCTTGCCAAAGCTAGGCGTCCATTTGTCTGTGCGGGATGTACAAGTTTGCAGTCACGTCGGATCAGATTGGGGACGTTAAATCCGATGCCTCGTGTAAAGAGAGTGCCACGCTTTTTTTTTGCACGTTAAGAACCCTTGCAACAACACTTTGAGGGTCCGTAGTTTGCCTGTTTCAAGGCTAAATTTCTGCTATCCAATATAACCTTGTTTCCCAGTGGCAGTCGAAATTTCCAAGACCTTCATCCAGGACAGCCTCTATTACAGGACCTACCTTTTGTATTTATCATGAACGTGTTCTCGTCCTGAACATGCATGACATATTTGCCACTTGACGGTAAGTAACCGACAATCAATCAATCAATCGAAAACAGGTATGTTGAAAATTGTATGAAGTTATTGTTATTATCGAATCAAGACAGACAATTTGTTCTACTGGGGTTGATTTAGACGTCTATGTTTTTAAGTGAAAGATTGGAAACCGCAAAATGTGGAAAACTTCTTGGTTTATATATCGACAATAAATAAAATTGGATTTTAAAAATAAATAAGATGTGTCATGTTATTTCAAATTGAACTAACTTATTTCTAAACATACCAAACGTTTTAATCATTATTCTTATTTTTATGTTTTTCTATTGTTTAATTATTGTTCCACTATATGGTGTACTTCAAAGTTGAAAGAATAAACTTCATAAGTTACTTCTGAAAACAACAAGAGTAATAGAAGAAGAGGAGCGAAAGATACCAGAGGGACATTCACACTCATAGATCGAAAATAAACTGACAACGCCATGGCTAAAAAAGAAAAGACAAACAGACAAATAATAGTACAATGACAGAACATTGAAAACTAAAGACTAAGCAACACGAACCCCACCAAAACTGGGGGTGATATCAGGTGCTCAAAACGGGTTAGTAGATCCTGCTCCACATGTGGCACCCGTCGTGTTGCTTATGTTGTTACAAACTCGGTAAATAGTCTAATTCGGTAGGTCATATTCGTGAAAAGGGAACGGGATTTTAGTTACGACATAAGGAACATATCCGATATCATCTGTGAAACGGATATTTTATAACGGTGAGCCAACTCGTGATGGCGTCCGTAAAATGTACGAAGGGATGGTTTCAACTTCATAGCTTCCTTGTGAACAGCAACCCTCTATCAAGGAAATCATGATAGGAAATACAAGCCCGGGAATATCGTATCAATTGGGATATATATACTCCGTAGCATGCGCTGCTGGAATGTTGCTACATAGAAATGGAAAGTTCACAATTGGGAAGTTGAAATCATCTCTTTTGTCGTAAAGCTTTGTTTTCAACCGACCATTATTGTCAATTTCTAGATGTAAGTCAAGATATGAAGCAGACTTAACTGTATCTGTAGTATCCTTTACCTTTAGTTCGATGGGATAGATGCGTTCAACATAGTCACCAAATTTTGAATTATTTAGTGAGAGAACATCATCTATATGGCGGAAAGTAAAGTTAAAGGATATTGCTAACTTGTTTTGTTTCTTCCTAAGAAGTTCTTGCATGAAGTCAGCCTCATAAGAATAAAGGAACAAGTCGGCAAGAAGAGGGGCACAATTGGTTCCCATGGGAATGCCGATAGTTTGTTGAAAAACACGTCCTCCAAACGTAACAAATATGTTGTCAATCAAGAAATCAAGTATCTTGATAATGTCAGTTTCAGAGAATTTTTTGTTTGAATCAGAGTGAATTTTTACAAAGTAGGATTTATCCCTCCCTAAAACAAGCTGATGTTATAACGGCATCTACTACATTGTTTTTAAATAGTTTAATTGGTTAAAAAAAAAAAAAAAAACGTTTTCTATAACAGAAGGCTTTGTTTGTTCAGAAATCATTTAAGGACATTATCGGAATTTTGGGTTCTCAATGCTCAATTTTGTACTTTATTTGGCCTTTTAACTTTTTTGGTTCGAGCATCACTGATGAGTCTTTTGTAGACGAAACGCGAGTCTGGCGTACACATTTTTTATCCTGGTATATAGGAGTTTATTTACAAGAAAATTTAATTATTTTGACAATCAAAATTGTAATTCACGTTCAGCGGATGAAAAACTGTTAAACTTATCAAAGCCAACATCATTTCATTTTAAGAGAACATATACATGTTTCCAAGTATATATCTTACCTCCTGAGATAACGATTTGCAGGTATCTTTTGAAGATTTTTTTTGTTTATTTTGATTTTTTTCCTTGACAAAAGTTGCATGATAGGTGTGTTTTTATCAATACCATTCATTGTGTATATAATATTTAATGTACTTTATTAATTTCTTTTATATTATTTTCGTGAGGCCACACAGGAAGATTAATTATGACTTAGGGGGGCATCCTCTCTAAATAAATATTATTTATTTATTTATCTATTTATCAATAAATTAATTACAAGTATTGATTTATTTAACTGTAGGTTACATCTGTTCAAATCTCATAAATCGAGTACGAAGATACAAATCAAGGTAACAAAAACAAAAACTGGAGGGAGAAAACTCATCAATGATACAAGGCTGATAATGTTTTACGCTAGACGCGCATTTCGTCTCCAAAAAACTCATCAGTGACGCCCGAATCAAATAAGTTAAAAGGCTAAATAAAGTAGAGCATTGAGGGTAGAAAATTCCGAAAGATGTTGCCAAATGCAGCTAAGGTAATTTATAACTGGGGTATGAAATCCTTTTATTTCGTACGATTCAAAGTGTTGTAAACTGGAAGCGAATGTCTCCAAAAGAAGAGAGGCCGGATTCGTTGATGGGCGGGCGTCTCCTGGTATGCTTGCATGCATCGCCTGTCATGCGAATCCACACTCAGTCAAAATGTCACAATTTGGAACAGGACATAATCAGAACAAAAACCAGATCAGACGACTTTTCTGTTATTCAAAGATCTAAGACCACGACAATATGTCGCTAGTGATTTTAGACATAGACGCATCGTATCGGTCAACCAATCGTGATGGTGACCGTTAAACTTTTGAAGTCGTCCTTCCACTTACTCTATGAGAGCAGTTTTCGTGTAAGGAGCAACACCATTGTTAATGTAGTCCGTATAGTGTGAAATGCACGAGCGTAACGTTTTTATTGAGATGTGTAAACGCCTAACAATGGGACAGAGGGTAATTATATTACTGCTGAAAAACTAATAATAGAAACTGAAATTGGAATCACCAAGTTTGAAATTTTTTTTTTCTTCTTGAGCACCCTAAATTTTTTCAATCTTATATTTTCTTTGGATTATTTAGTGGACTATTGTTTTTCTTTTTGTTGTATTTCGTTTGATCAATGCGTAATTTCTCTTTCACTTTCAAATATTGCTTTAAAGCAATAATTATTATCTTTTAGCCATTTTGTACTATATGCTGAAAGTCTGGTTAAATCTTCGCAAGCGTAGAGTATGACAAAAAGGATGAACATTTCATGTTCGCTCTGTCTGTCAATTGTTTACCGATATTGTTATATAGTCCATCCAAATAATTTGCTCTTTTCATTAATGATATCCTGTCAAACCCATTTTGATGCGCCCTTGGTTGTCTAAATGTTTGTATTATAACCGCATTTTGCAGTGAGATATTTAGGATATTTATGTCAGTATCTGTTGGATTGTTTGCCTAACACAAATAACAAATTGCTGCTAAAACACACATGCAGCTGTGTTTTAATGCAAAGATGTAATCTGATCGACATTTACAAAAGAATCTCTTTCAAAACGGTAATTGAACCGTCTTAAGCTTTGAGTTATGTGTGACCTTTGGTTTATTTTGTGACTTTGAGATGGAAAACAGATGAGAGTGCTCTTCCTTGCTTTTGTATTTTTGTCAACAACTTTAGTCTACAAATTAATTCTTAAATGAAAAACATGTTCATCAAAACAGGTAAAAATACTGCTTGGGACACTTTTGACACTTCTTCAAACGCACTGGGACTACAATATAAAAAAAAATATAAACCGTTTGGTAAGTTTTGAAAATGAAGAAAATTCACCGATTGTGTCCTATTCCTGATTGTGCTAATTTGAACGTGTGTGTATTTGAATGGTGTGCGATGCATGTATATCAGGAAACGAGTAACCTGTAAATACATCCAGTCTCGGTTTTTTATACCCTGCTTTGTATCTCATTACAAACTACTCAGAGTCTGAAAAGACCATATTTTGTGCTCGACCAGTAAAGTCGAGCACAGATTTTACTTCATAAGACTCCACGTAATCTCGACATTACTTAACTGTACTTAACTGTACTCGATTTTGGTCTCGACTTTACTAAATAAGTCTAATTCAGTACTTGATAATCTGTGTAAAGTCTGAAATGATCTCGACAAATGCTCGACCAGTCTCGACTAAGTCTCGATCTGTCTCGACCAATCTTGACTAAGTCTCGACCTGTATGATCTCCACAAATGCTCGACCAGTCTCGACTCAGTTTCGACCTGTCTCGACCAAACTTGACTAAGTCTCGACCTGTCTCGACCAGTCTCGACCTGTCTCGACCAGTCTTGACCTTTAAATTTAGTCTTGAATGGTCTGAATCAGCCCATCTAACTCAATTATATATTGATCCTACAAAATTCCAGGTTATTTAGTAGTTTGATTTATTGCTGTTAAATTAAAGGATTTAAGAATAGGTAAAAAAGCTAGAATTTTCAGTTTTGATTAAATTCAGATAGTCACCTTTAATTATTTCTATAACTTTTTCAAATCAACTTGGATTTTCATTAAACTTTACAGCTATCTCAATTATATATTGATCTAACAGAATTCCAGGTTTTTTGGTCGTTTAGGGTATTGCTGTCAAATTTAAGGATTTAATTAATAGGTAGAAAAAAGCTAGAATATTCAGTTAACACTAAATTCCGATAGTAAGATCAATATATAATTGAGATAACCCTATAGGTTTATGAAAATTCAACTTTATTAGGAAAAGTTATGAAAAATTAAAGGTGACTGTCTGAATTTAGTCCGAGTTGAAAATTCTAGCTTTTTACCTATTAAATAAATCCTTAAATTTGACAGCAGTAAATCAAACTTCCAAACAACCTAGCATTCTCTAAGCTCAATGTATAATTGAGATAGCTGTAAAGTTTTATGAAAATCTAAGTTGATTTGAAAAATTTATAGAAATAATTAAAAAAAAAAAAAATAAGTTACTATCTGAATTTAAACAAAATTGAACATTCTAGCTTTTCTACCTATTAATAAAATCCTTTCATTTGACAAAAATGAATCAAACTACCAAATAACCTGGAATCTTGTAAGATCAATATACAATTGAGTTAGATGGGCTGATTCAGACCAGTCTAGACTAAAATTTAAAAAAAAATGACTGGTTGAGACAGGTCGAGACTAGTCGAGACTGAGTCAAGACTAGTCGAGACAGGTCGAGACTTAGTCAAGACTGATCGAGACAGGTCGAGACTGAGTCGAGACTGGTTGAGTATTTGTCGAGACCATTTCAGACTTTACCAAGATTATCTAATACTGAATCAGACTTATTAAGTAAAATCGAGTACAGTTAAGTACAGTTAAGTACTTTCGAGATTACGTCGAGTCTTATTAAGTAAAATCTGTGCTCGACTTAACTGGTCGAGCACAAAATATGGTCTTTTCAGACTCTGAACTGTTTGTAGTGTCTTCTAAATACATTTTGTGTAGATAAATGTGATTTGAACATTGGTAACCAATGTTGCCTCTAACTGTAATGAAAAAGGGGACAAAACAAAACAATACTCTTAGGCAGGGTGAGTATAAAGAAAGTTGTTTTCAATTAATCAATAAACAATACCCACTTACCCATCCAGAACATATCAAACATGATAAGTCAAAACTAAATAGCAGATTACTGTTTCTGTATGAATAGCACCTGTTGAAATATGAAGGATCATAATCGTAACTGTGTTGATACTGTTGATACTTGCAGTCGTCAAGCTTGTGCATTCCAATGGTATCCATAACGACTCCAATCAAGCTGAGAATGCCTATCAGTACACCTAATCCAATTTGTATTCCACCTAACACCTTGAATGTCCTGACTGGAAATACGTGTTGATTTCTATTTTCTGTAAGCGGTGGTTGATTTGTTGTTTCTTGAATCATCAATGGAGCTATGCCAGGGTTGTTTAGGGATGTTGACATACTGAAATATTCGTAACCATATAATTTATGATGAACTATTTAGAAAAGAGAGGTAAGATGCCGATAAAGTACATCTATAAGAGATGGGGTGATTTCATACCGTTAACCGGCAAAGTAGCTACATGTAATGATATATCTCTTTATATTTGCGAACAGTATTACATGTATGTTTTATACGGTTTCAATCCTTATTTGTTTTGTCGTCTGTATTTCTGATAGTAATGAAACTAGTGGACATGAGGGTTGTAATGCCCATGTCATGATGTTTCTATTTTCATTTAATATAAATAAATGTATATATTATTGCAGACCGCACAGTAATCACATGATAACTAGAATTATGTTATATGTTTACATGTATGTATATGTACCTATTCAAAAGGGCAATCTAGCTCTTCAGTTGTACATTTCTTTTGCTGATCTCAGATCTTCAATGATATGTATCATTAAATTTCACTGACGCTTTATTAAATAACTTATGTTTAATGTTTTATAATACAAAACGTTAAACTTGCATATAATTGTAAATTATAGTAAACTGGGGGTGAATTGAATTAAAATTATAGTTATTTCCTGTTTGATAAAGTTTGTCTTTATTTCAATGTATCTGTTAAGATGTAGACATTATTGTTCCTTTAATAATTAATTAAGTACAAAATGTTCGACCAAATTTACCATGTTATACAAGAAACAAACACTGGATATATAATCCTTCAGATACTATATTTATTATCGTTTTCATAACAGTTTTGGTATTTAAATCCATTAATTCATGCATTTCAGGTAACCATCCAATTTAAAAAGCTTACTGGTATAAGTAATGAAAAGGCACACTATAAAGGAGAAGTTATGATAAGGCCACCGTATTCATGTTGTTGGTTATTGGATTTCGAAAATCAAACAGTACTTCGGATGTTCATAAGAGTGGCATTAGTCTGTCAAACATCAATATTTATACTTTTAAATGATGTCTTGACTATTTGCATTAGGGTTTCAAACTTCTTGAATTTAGCAAAAAAACTCTTTAAACTGCAAACAAATATATAATTTTGAGATCTTGTCATTTATATTTAGATATGACCAGAGAGATATTTTGCAACGATATGCTTTTTTAAAATTGTGTTGTACCAAGTAAGGAATATGACAGTTGTTTTCCAATCGTTTGATGTGTTTGAGTTTTTTTTTTTGCCAATTAATAAAGGGCTTTTCGGATTGAATTTTCCTTGGAGTTCGGTGTTATTGTAATTTACTCTTTTTTAATCTTTGTTGACTATTATAGTTAATTCCCGTTTAATGAACTTTTTGTCTTTATGTCAATGTATCTGTTATGATGTAAACATCATTTTTCCTTTTACAGCTAGTTAAGTACAAAATGTTCTATTAAATTTCAAGTAACCAACAAATTAAAAAGCTTACTGGTATAAGTAATGAAAAGGCACATTTATAATTTTATTTGTGTAATTGTATTAATCTTTGCATGTACTGATTAATCAACGCTCCTATAGATATGTTTGTTTTGTGTTGCTTTTTATAGGCACTTATATTCCTTTGATTTTTGTTTAATCCAAATATTGAATAAACCCATAGCAATTACCAAATTCACATTTTAGTTTTAATTATTTACATTCTATGATGGTGAAGTGCGAACAAAAATGTATAAACAGAGTATTCAAAAAGTAGTTCCAAAATAATAGCAAAAGCCATTCTTCATCAATTACATTCCTTTTAGGTGACATATTTTTTTGGGGGATTTTTTGTTTGTCCTGAATTGTTTCGTGAATGATATCAATATAAATAAAAAGAGATATGGGGTGTGCGTCGATGAGATGACCGACGACAAAACAAAATCAAAATACACCTAGCTAGAGACAAAATACAGGCTTCAACAATAGACAGGCGTCTTTACAGTATGTGAATTGTTTACTCTCCCTGAGTATTTGATTGATTGTTGCTTGTTCAACGACAGGTTGTAAATATTTCAGGCATATTTAGAACGAGACCAATGGACCATTTTCATGTTACCGACTTTTGACTCCGGATTTTAATTTTTTCGACAGGGTATCTTCATTGTGGTAGGGCATCCTGGTACTCGATCAAGTAAGGGCGATTTAAAGAAGTAAAATCAAGTTACATGTACGATCCGTACAATTTAGGGGGAAAATTAACTGTTTCATGTTTTCTATACACGACAAAGTCATTGGAAAAACAAAATGCACCAATTGTATGTTTAATTTTACTTCTTTTGGTTGCTCCTACTTGACCGGGTACCAGGATGTCCTACCACTGAGTAGGTAACCTGTCGAAAATTTAAAAAATCCGGAGCGAAAAGTTGGTATTATGAAAATAGTCTATTTACAACAGTGAACCAACTTAGCGGTAGTTCGATCGGTTAAAGGGCGGGAAATTTGGACTGCCACTGAAAAATAGGATTTTAGGTAGGGGCAGACATTTTGCCTTATAACAGGCCATCTATTACCCCTGTGCGAGTTGTTGAAATTTTTTTAGCGAACAGGTAGCATGTCACTCTCCCTACACGAGGCATTGGATTAAACATACCCATTTCGCCCACACATGGCTGCGTATATATAGTAAATGACTGAATAATAGCCAACGATAAATCTTACGGGGCGATGGATCATATAATTATGATACAGTACACTACAAAATATAATATATAACAAGTCTAAAAGGGTACAACATCACCAAAAAATAATAATAAAATGAACAAATGTTAAATATTTTGGATAACTGATATCCTTCATCAGTATGATCACGATGGAAAATGAATCATATCAATCTAGTCTGATTATAAAACTTTAACAATCTTGAAATTTATACAATAAAACAGTCAAAACTGAACATCATAGAGACGCTTGTTCATGACGTAGCTTATGTAGCTATTTACAACAGAGACTACAAAGATATGCTTCAACATCCCAAATAGATAGCAGTTTGATAATGATTAAAACGATAATAATAAATTTTGACTAAGGTTAAATAATTGAACGTGACTGCCTACTTATGCATCCCTCCCAAATGAATAGAACCCTGTAATTTAAACTGGTATATTTAAAAAATTCTTAAAAACTGTACGGAAGCCTGGGTTACTGGAAACAAGTGATGGCAGGAAAATGAGTGACTCATTCTATGTTTTTTTTTCATTTATGCCCGCTGGGAAAACTGTCCTGAGCTTTCTTATCCAAAACCTTTCTCGAGCGAAACTGTCGGCCCTTGACCAATACTCGTTGTGGTCTATGATTGTAATGGTAAGGTTTTTGGGATCAGCTTGGGCGTGCCTAGGTGAACTCAAATGACGACTTCCGGGGAGGTCGGGCTTGCAGGTGTAGTCACGTCGATAGCCATTCATGCGTTTGTTGAATAACTGTTCTGTCTCGCCAACGCACTACATATATATATATATATATATATATATATATATATATATATATATATAAGTGCCTATAAATAGCAGCACATGACATACAAATCTATGGGAGTGTGGATTAATCAGTACAGAGATTAATTCAATTACACAAATAAAATTATAGATTGCCTAACAATGTAATTTTAACACACTAGTTAGTATGTAAATATAAGAATGTTTAAAATATTTACAAAATGATAAAAATAAACGCAATATTTCGCTAGACTAACTAGCTTTATCAAGCGTGCATCTATCCAGGTGAAATCGGATGTAGATGATAAGAAACTTTTGCAGCTCAATGTATATGTTGCACTTGAATTTAGCTGCCTTGAAAATAATACATAATATGGATGAAGTTCAAGATTTTTACAAAATTGGTAGTTGAAGTTAGCAACGTCCATTGGCCAATATTACAGGATAAAAAGGACGATGCTGTGTACTTAATTATTCTTTATCTTTCCTGTATCTTTTCTCATCTTTTTCGTTAAGACCATCAGGTTCTAAAGTGTGGAGTTGGTGGATCCAAAAATTTTCTCTTCTCCTTCTCGCCGTGGTGTCCCACTCAGTGTTGACTTCTATGATTTGGAAAGTAACATTATCAAAAGAATGTTTCGTTGAACGAAGATGTCTTGTGAGAGGACAGTTTTTGTTAGTTTTGTACCATGAACGATGGTTATTGAGCCGAATATTAAATTTGTCCATTGTTTCTCCCACATACTGAATGCCACAAGTGTCACATGTTAATATATAAATTGAGTTCTCCGTTTTACAGTTGGAATTTGAGTAGATGGTATAATTTTGTTTAGTAACGGAGCTGATGAAAGAACTGCTTGTATTGGCAGCTTTACAACACAAGCAGTTCCTTCGACCACATTGTTTGTAGCAACCGGGAGATGGAGTAGGCTGCTTTGCTAATACAGATGTCACTAATTTGTCACGGATGTTTTTAGGTCTTCTGAAGGCCATGACTGGTGGTGAGGAAAATACTTTTTTAAGATTTGAATCATTTTCTATAATTTTCCAGTGCTTCTGAACAATGGAAGACACATTTTTAAAATCAGGATGGTAAGTGAGTACAAGGGGTGTTCTGTTAGCTGCTTTATTCTTATCTTTGTACTCTAGAAGTTCTTGGCGACTAGTTTTGTTTGCTCTTTCGAAAGCGCTATCAATGATGTTGTTATTGTATCCTCGAACAACTAGATGTTTACGTAGTTGTCCAAGTCTAGCATTTTGCGTATTTTCAGTAGAGCATATTCTCTTGATTCGCAATGCCTGGCTGAATGGGATGCCACGGGAGCAGTGTTTAGGATGGCAACTTTTAGGAGAAAGGAATTGATGTTTGTCCGTTTGTTTGATATGAAGGTCCGTTATAATGGTTCCGTTCTTGATGTAACTCGTAGTGTCGAGGAAGTTTATTTTCTCCATAGATGATTCATATGTAAATTTTATTGAATGGTGGAAAGAGTTACAGTGTCCTAGAAATTCATTAAGATGTTCTTGTGAATCTGTCCATTTGAAATCAATATCGTCAATGAATCGGAACCATGATAAGGGCTGGTATGGAGCACTAGCCAAGA